CCCTCAACTGGGGGTCGACCACAACGTCCGGCCTCTCTATCGCTCCCATACGACAACTGCCCGCCGGATGATTACCGGATGACGAATAATATCTTATATAACACTTCAATCCGTCCACACATTCATACAAATACTGTTTGTCCGGACAGTCGGGACACCCGATGGATGAAAACGGCGGCAATCGCTGTATATAATTGGCCAGTTGTGTGCGCTCAAGCATGTAAAACATGGTAATAACAGCATCCAAAATGTTTACGTTATCCATCGGATGCGATAACCAGTTAGGGTCGAGCAATGGGGGCAATAAGGGGTCGGCCGACTGTAAACGTATAGTACCGTAACTTTTATATCTAACTAAATATAAATTCATAGATATTGAATCGTTGCCTCCCTGTCCCGACTGTATCATCACATTTGGCCATTCATTGTCTCGATTCGCACGCGTGTTGTAATAGAGTACTCGACTAATTAGCGATGATAATGGACCTTGGTGTTCGTAATACAGCTGGCTCATTTGGTCGACGCTAATTTGTGGCGATTTGTTTAGTAAATGCAAATATTGTGGCTTTAGTTTTGGGTTTTGCTTAACAGCCATATGATTTTGGTAGTGTTGTCCCACCGGTAAGTCTAACACAACCGGTATTTTTAGGGTATTTAAGTGCTGTGCCGGACCCACGCCTGACAGCATTAATAAGTGTGGGCTACGTATGGCACCTAAATTTGGATAATAATTAACAGTATTTTATTACATTTGATTGATTAGTAATTAACAAATTATAATTACCGGCGGAAACAATGACTTCTCTGTTGGCGTAAACCGTATACGAGATGTCATTCACTCTAAACTCGACGCCAATGGCTGTCAACCCATTGAACAGTATTTTAGTGACCAATGCTTTGCACACTATATGCAGGTTATCTGGATATGGGTTCGGGTCTACAAACACAGTACCGGTGCTCTCCCTTAGACCAGACGAGGCAATAAAAAATTGGTCGATATTAAATCCGAGCTGATTCGGGCCATTAATATCAGTCTCCTTAAATCCCAATTCATTTGCCGCCATATTTAATACGTTTATAATATTTGGTACATTTTTTGCTGATGATATTTGAATAGGACCGCTAGTCCCGTGATATCCGGGATTTGTTTGCACAACACTAGTGTTTGTATTGTTCTCCCACTCCCTGAACACCGGCAACACATCCCTATAACTCCAACCGACGGCGCCGTACGCATTGGCCCACTCGTCATACCCACGACGATTACCCCGATTAAAACCCATACCGTTATGGGCGGAACTTCCTCCCAGAGTTTTACCCGTATGTTCGGGCAATCCATTACCGGCGTATTGTCCGCCATAATTAGGCCTGGGTACATTGTTATAATTCCACTCGTTAATATTGTTATCAAATTGGCCCTGATACATTCCCGGCATTTCATTATATATGGCACTTTGAGGCCCTCCCGCCTCCAACAACAACACCCTTACGGTGTGACCGGCGCTGAGTTTGTTGGCCACAACCGCACCGGCAGTTCCGGCGCCGACAACAATGAAATCATACGATGAGTGCCATTGAGTTCGGGCACAAGTGTTGTCGTGAATGAGCTGTCGTTGGGCTGCAATCCACGCGACGGCCAATAGTTTGTACGCAAAAGGAGTTATATTTACCATAATTTATGTATTATTTAAAAAAAATTAAACTAACAAATTACAATGTTTTAATTTTATTTAATTAATTTCTTCAGTGAAAATATAATATCTATATTAACAATAAAATTAAAAATATTGATTTATTCCCATTTTGTTAACACGGCAATTGTTTAACGCCACAAATTTTTTTCTATACCATAAGTTCGATATATCATGAAGTTCATTGATCTTTTGCATAAGTATTGTCGATATATCTGTATAAATCAAATTAAATTTTTAATGTTTAAAAATACAGTCTGCCCCCGGTTTTGACACGTCATCGGTGCTATAAAAAAATATGTGTTAAGATTGAATTCTGTTAAAATCGAGTACATTAACAGTACTAATATGACTCTACGGTGCTAGCAAAAACATATGTTACAACCGAAATCTGTTAAAATCGCGTGTGTCAAAACCAGGGGCAGACTGTCTACGTATTTATACAGAACCTATTATGGCACTACGCGATTTTTTAACTATACAGTCAAACTTCAAAATTCAATAGTAATTTATTCTAGCGTTATTAATATTAATTAATTCAATTAACAATAAAAACATATAATAATAGCAGAATATTTAGTTATAATATTATACAGTCACAAATTAGATTTAATTTAAGTTATACTGATTTATAATAAATTGGGCGCATTTATAGCCAACCACTATCGAAGCCGCGGCGGTGTTGGCGTTGGGAATCAGTGGGAACACCGATGAATCGCAAACCCTTAGATTGTTGGCCCCCTTAACCCTCAACTGGGGGTCGACCACAACGTCCGGCCTCTCTATCGCTCCCATACGACAACTACCACCAGGGTGAGATTCAGTATATGTATTATAATTGATATAACACTGAATTCCTTCAACACATTCGTAGGCATACTTTCCCGGACACACCGGACAGCCTATGGGTGCGAATAAGTCGGCTATATCTACATATTGAGCTATAGACGAGCGCTCGAGTAGGTAAAATGCAAATAACGTGGCATCCAAAAGTGCCTGAGCATCACCATGGTCGGACAAACAATTTGGGTCTATAATTGGTGGTATGTGCGGACTGGTTGATTGAAGCCTAATAGTGCCCACGCTTTTTAATCTCACGAGTTCTACCATAAAATTAATTTTATTACGGCTTACTATAAAATAATATAAAATGTTTGGCCAGTGTTTATCACGAATTGACCTTGTCGTATTGTACATGAATAATGCTTCTTTCTCAGCCAGCATGCCCGATTGTTTGTAATAAAGTTCATTTAATTGCTCAACATTTAATTGTGGATCAGGCGATAGGTTATTGTAATTGGATTTTAATGGACAACCAATACTAACGGCCGGCATATTCTGGAAATTGTCACCAACGGGCAGATCCAATACAAGTGGAATACTGAACTTTTTCAAATGTTGTTTGTGCCCCAAACCCGATAACATTAGTAACTGCGGACTATTAATGGGCCCTTAATATAATACATACAGAATTTTATTATGTTTAATAATATCGTATTTTATAAATACGGAATTGATTTACCGCCGGAGACAATGACTTCTCTGTTGGCGTAAACCGTATACGAGATGTCATTCACTATAAACTCGACGCCAATGACTGTCAACCCATTGAACAGTATTTTAGTGACCAATGCTTTGCACACTATATGCAAGTTATCTGGATATGGGTTTGGGTCTACAAATGCATTACCCGTATCCGATCTGAAACGACTTGAGGTAATAAATGATTGCATTAACATTAATCCCAATTGTTTTGGGCCATTGATATCTGTGTTCATAAATCCCAACTCATTTAACGCATCCCTAATATAAAGAAGTAATTTATTGTATGGTTTGGAAGAAGATATTTGAATGGGTCCACGAGTTCCGTGATATCCGGGATTATTGGCAACAATAACGGGATCCGTATTGTTCTCCCACTCCCTGAACACCGGCAACACATCCCTATAACTCCAACCAACGGCGCCGTACGTATTGGCCCACTCGTCATAACCGCGACGATTACCCCGATTTAAATCCATACCGTTATGCGCTGAACAACCGCCCAGTGTTTTACCCTTATCGTCGGGCACTCGACCCCCGGCGTACTTATTACCAAAATTCTTTTTAGGTTCATTAAAATAAATCCATTCATTTACATTGAGGTTATTTCCAAGTGATCCCATTCCCGGGATATCATTATAAACAGCACTTTGAGGCCCTCCCGCCTCCAACAGCAACACCCTTACGGTGTGACCGGCACTGAGTTTGTTGGCCACAACCGCACCGGCAGTACCGGCGCCGACAACAATGAAGTCATAACTGCTTTGCCATTGAGTTCGGGAACACGTGTTGTCGTGAATGAGCTGTCGTT